TATTGAAATACTGAAAACAAAACTTATAATTTTCCAATGTGGGACAAGTTCAAAACTGGGTTTTGTAAGAGAAAAACTGATTTTTTCAATCAAGTGTACAGGTGCAATTTCTCGTGTAATTGATCAATCAAACCCATTAGATTTAATCTCTCATGAGATTAAAATCCAACATCATATTCTTGCTGTGGAAGGCAGAACTACATCTAATACACATGGATGTGATTTCGTCAAACCAGGCGAGTGTAAAGAATCATTTAATGCAGTTACATCAGTTACTACAAAATTTGGTGAATTTTCTAATTCTAACGTGTCTGTTCCTATTTTGAACGTAATGGTTTGTTCTCCTCACATGAATATGGATGTTGAGCAGCCGAGTTTGGATGTTACCCAGCACGTGCATCCCCCAAGAACCTCAACTCCACATGCTCATACTTTGCCTCATATGGAGGTGCAACCAATTGAAAATGTTATTGGCCAAACTCTACCGGACGGCAGGATTACTACTACTTTTTATGGTGGTATTCCCGCCAAATCAGGCATGTGCTCCATTCCCTCTCTTGTTGTCTCTTTGTTTACTATCACTTCTGTTATTGATAATGCCAATGTTTGTGCTATGGAGATTACTAAGGGAGTCCCCCCTCGTAGCTTGAAATGCAAAGCACCATCTTTGGAAGACAATGTTGTTGCTGCTAACTTTCGTTCCAATCCAGTCTTTGTTGATAGTGTTGTGTTATCTCACCTTAAACTCAAGAAGCAAGCTCGTTTAAAGGCTGAATTGAATGCATCTTCCTCAAATAATTCTCCATGTTCTTTAGTAGCTATGGTGGCAAGCCATCAATTGCCACCACACTCACCATGATATGTTTCTCTTGGAACTGTCAAGGTGGAGGAGGTAGATTGGCAGTTCAACATTTCAACTATCTCCTCAAGAAGATTAATCCTACCATCTTCTTCATTTCTGAAACTCGTTGTGATTTGGTGAAATCTCAAAGAATTTTATCAAGTTGCTGCAATATGATTTTTTTGTCATTCCCTCTCAAGGTCGGTCCAGGGGTTTATGGTTTGGCTGGTTGAAGTCACTTGAGCTGTGTATTCTTCATTCTAATGAACATTTAATTCATGCTTCCATCAACAAACACCCTCCCTCGGTGGTATGGGACTTTGTTGGTGTTTATGGTCATCCAAATCGATCACAGCGATAGAAGGTTTAGGATGAGGTTATTTCTATTGGCTCTAGTATCTCCGGACCATGGGTTTTAATGGCAGACTTGAATGCCATTTCCAATGCTGATGACAAAATTGGCGGTTGTGTTGCAGACACACATCATGTTCAAATGTTTAATCAAATGGCTGAAGCTTGTGGTTTACTTGATTAGGGCTTTGTTGGTCCACCATTTACTTGGTCTAACAAGCACTCTGAAGAATTAATTATGGAACATTTCGATCGAGCCTTTTGTACTCCCTCTTGGATTGATCTTTGGCCTCACTCTCATCTCAAGCACCTTTCAGCTAGCCTTAGTGACCATAGACCAATTGTTCTATTTACACAGACTATAAGGTATTGGCGTGAGCTGTAAACTAGGAGAATATCCCTTAATTCAGGGATAACTCTTATCATAATAGTTTGTATGTAACTAGGAAAGGTAGAACAAGATAGTTTGTGTGTAACTAGGAGAGGTGTGTATATATAATTCATTCTTTGCAAAGGAAAAAAAACAAGAAGAACAAGAAAGAATCAGAGTTTCTCCTTCTACTCGAGTTATCATGGTATCAGAGCGCCACGGTCCGTGACAAACTCGTCTTCCTGATCGCTGCGAAGTCTTGGTCGCCGGTGGGTGACCGCTGCTATTACCGCTGCAATTCCAGCGGTTGCTCTATCGTGTGGTTTTTTTTCTCTACCCAGAACTATCAACTCCATCGCGGTCACCGGTGGTTGGCCGCTACTATTGCCGCTGCAAGTCCGGCAGTTGCTCTGCTAGATCTCGCCGTCTCACTGTGGTCGCCAGTTGGTGGCCGCTGATATTGCCACTGCAAATTCTTGCTGAGTGCAACCCGCCTCTTCTTCACATCAGAACTATTGATTCCACCATGGTCGCCGGTGGTTGACTACTGCTACTGCCGCTGCAACCTGCTTGCTTCTTTGCAATCTGCAACGACCGAACATCATTCTCTGACACTCAGCGTTAGATGCGATTGTTGACTCCCTTCTACTCCGAGACGCCATCGGCAGACACAACCATGTCCGATTCGGAAACCTCAGATCCGTTTGGAGAACAACGACACAATCCTACCCTCACTGAATTGACCACCAGAATGACTAAACTCCTGCACAGACCGACCTCGACTACAGAGACCTCCGCCGCTCAGATCGGCATTAAGTTGGACGGCACCAACTATGCTCTTTGGTCCCAAGTTGTTGAGATGTATATCTCTGGCAGAGACAAATTGGGATATATTAATGGTGAACTTCCCCAGCCTCCATAGACTGACCCAACCTTTCGAAGGTGGCGCACCGACAACGCTATTGTCAAGGGATGGTTAATTAACTCCATGGACGTATCCTTGATTGGTAACTTTATTCGATTCCCTACAGCAAAGATGGTGTGGGATTCTGTTGCTACTACGTACTTTGATGGCAGTGATACCTTGCAAGTATACGATCTTCGGCGCCGTGTGACCCGCTTGCGCCAGTCTAGAGGGTCCCTTGAAAAGTATTATAATGATCTCCAAGGTTCGTGGCGAGAAATTGATTTTCGCCATCCAAATCCGATGGAGTGTGCGGCGGATATTCAACGGTACAATACTCTTCTTCAAGAAGAGAGAGTGTATATCTTCTTGGATGGCCTTGATGACAGACTAGACAAGATTCGGGCAGATGTACTCCAAATGCATCCGTTTCCCACTATTGAACAAGCATACGCACATGTTCGGAGAGAAGCTATCCGACAGAGGGTCATGATCACCGATAATAATATTGAAACTCCAAGAGCTGTTTTGGCCTCTAGAGGTGTTAAAACTGAGCAACCTACACCCTCCTCAACGGGTTCTCTGCCTTTAAGCAACGAAAAATCTGGTACGTCCTCTAAATCTCAAACATCTTTTGGTGGAACTAAGTGTTCTCATTGTGGTAACTTAAAGCATACCCGGGAGGATTGCTTCAAGCTACATGGCTATCCCGACTGGTGGCATGAACTCCAAGCTCGGAAACGTCAAGACAAGGCCGAAACTAGTGGTAAGGCTGCAACGGTTACAACAGAATCTCAACTCTCATTCATACCACAGGGAGACGTACACCTCTCGGATTCAGGTAACAATCTTCCCAACAAAACTATTGATAACAATGCATGGATACTTGACTCAGGGGCTATTGACCACATGACCTATGATGCTATTGATTTTTCAAAGACTTCACCACCAAGACGGACTACAATTGTTAATGCCAATGGGGCTATCTCTCAAGTCACAGGAGCAGGCGCTGTGACCTTGTCACCTGCAATATCCTTGAAGAACACCTTGCTTGTTCCCTCGCTCTCCTATAAATTACTATCTGTTAGCTAGATCTCCTCTGATCTAAATTGTGTTGTGGGAGCAGGCACTGTGACCTTGTCACCTGCAATATCCTTGAAGAACACCTTGCTTGTTCCCTCGCTCTCCCATAAATTACTATCTGTTAGCTAGATCTCCTTTGATCTAAATTGTGTTGTGCTTATTTATCCTACTTTTTGTCTTCTTCAGGATATTCTCACCAAGGAGATAATTGGGCGTGGTACTAGGAGGGGGGGGGGCTCTACTACATGGATGATCTCAGCACGGGTTAAGCACATCATGCACATCATCAAAGTAACACCAAAGAACAATAGATTTGGATTTGGCATCGCCGGTTAGGACATCCATCATTCAGTTACATGAAACATTTATTTCCAAAGTTATTTACAGATATACAACCTCATGATTTTCAGTGTAACACTTGCATCTTAGCTAAGAGTCATAGAACTATCTATCCCTTAAGTATGAATAAAAGTAGAGTTCCATTTGCTTTGATTTGCTCGGATGTGTGGGGGCCATCCCTAGTAACTACAGTGTCTGGATTTCGCTGGTTTGTAATCTTTGTTGATGATTGCACTCGCATGACATGGTTATATCTGCTGAAACATAAAGATGAAGTGTTGACTGTATTTCAATCTTTCCATATGATGGTGAAGACTCAGTTCACATCACAGATCCAGGTACTCAGGTCTGATAATGGCGGGGAATACATGAATCAACGGTTCCAAGATTATTTCCGGATTCATGGATTACTTCATGAGACTTCATGCCCACAGACTCCACAGCAAAATGGCATTGCTGAGAGGAAGAACCGATACATACTCGAAACTGCTCACGCTCTGTTACTTGGAGCACATGTACCTAACCGACATTGGGTTGATGTTGTTGCTACCGCCATGCACCTCCTTAACCGAATGCCATCACGGGTCTTACAGTTTAAAACACCATTACAAGTTCTTTCATCACATGTCTCCTTGCCATCAGTTTTGATGATTCCACCTTGAGTTTTTGACTATGTGGCGTTCGTGCATCTACATAAAAATCAACGCACAAAACTGGATCCACGAGCAACTAGATGCTTATTTTGGGGTATGCGCTACACCAGAAAGGGTACCGATGCTATGACCCAGTTACCCACTGCACCTATGTTACCATGGATGTTACCTTTCTGGAATCTGAAACATTCTACTCTCCTTCCAAAACCAATTCTTCTCTTCAGGGGGAGAGTCAGAGTGAAGAACAGAACTGGTTTTTACTCGACGGGCTAAATACGAGTGCTTCAACAGAGATGGTGGTCAATGAAGCAACCGGTAAGACACCTACAGAGACAGCATCGGAGACATCTACAGAGACCCCAACGTCTACATCGCCTCTCCCAGCAGAAGAAATAGAGACCCCAACCTCCCCAGTATCGGAAGGCCCATCTCCAGAGGATATCCCGGAAGCGCGTGAGAGCATCCCTGAGGTAATCTCTCCTACCACACCTTCAAGCTCTAATGACATGAATACTTTGGCTGGTTACACTTTACCCTTCAGGCATAATCGTGGCAAACTGCCAAATAGATATTCTCCAGATGTTGAGAATCGGAGGTCAAAGTATCCAATTGTCAATTATGTATCAACGAGGAGACTCTTCAAACCTCTAAAAACATTTGTGCAAGAATTGTCCTCAAATCATATTCCTGCCAGTGTTCAAGAAGCTTTGACAAACCCGAAATGGACTCAGGCCATACAAGAAGAGATGGAGGCACTATTGAAGAACAAAACATGGACTCTGGTTACCTTGCCCGAAGGGAAAAGACCTGTAGGGTGTAAGTGGGTATTTTCCGTTAAATACAAGGCGGACGGGACAATCGAGAGATGCAAAGCGAGGCTGGTCGCAAAAGGTTATACCC